CGATCGGCGTTGCGACTCCGGTCGTTCAAGGAGACCGTGCGTTTTTTACTTCGTTCTACGATGGTTCGCTGATGCTGCGAATCGATCCGCATGAGTTTCGCTACGAGGTTCTCTGGCAGCGGATGGGTCGATCGGAAAACGATACCGACGCGCTGCACTCAACAATCAGCACCCCGGTGTTCGAGGGGAATTACATCTACGGCATCGACAGCTACGGTGAGTTCCGCTGTTTGGATGCGACCAATGGCGACCGCATCTGGGCCGATCAAACGGCAACACCGAAAGCTCGTTGGAGTACCGTCCATTTCGTCAAACATGGCTCGCGTTATTTCCTGTTCAACGAACGAGGCGAACTGATCATCGCGAAGCTTTCCCCCGAAGGCTTTCATGAGATCGATCGAACGCAAATCATTCAGCCGACGCGCGATCAACTTTCGCGACGTGGTGGCGTTTGTTGGTCTCATCCTGCATTTGCCGACGAATGCATCGTCGCTCGAAACGACGAAGAGCTGATCTGCATTAGCCTGGAAGACTAACGACTTACCAGCCTGCTTGCGAATCGTTGATCGCTTGCTCGAGAATCGCAACCACCGTGTTAGGATCGTACGGCTTGCGAACGTAAAAGCGTGCTCCGCTTCGGCGAATTTCCCGCACCGTCCCTGCGTTGCCATTGGCACTGAGGATAATGATCGGAATCTCGCTCGTCTGGGCCGCGTCGGTCAGTTGGGCACAAACATCTAAGCCGTTGACGTCCGGAAGATTCACGTCCAGCAAGATCGCCGCGGGACGCTCTTTAAACGCCAGGCGAATGCATTCGCCACCTTGATGGGTTACGATCGGATCGTAGCCGCGACGCTTGACGAAGTGGGCGAGAGCCTCGCAAATATCAGGCTCGTCGTCGCAAATAAGAACTTCCCCCTTCATCTCGAAGTCGGCTAGTTCTTCCATCTTTGGGTTGGCTTCCGCAATCATGCGAGTCCCCGTTTGCGTTTCGCCTTTGAGAATCGGTCAGTCCATCGAACTCTCAATGATGCCGCATGGTTTGATGATGTCAAAACGCACCGGTTGCGAAAACACAACGTTTTTCGCA